AAGAAGCCAAGAGTTAAGTTTAAGATTATGCAAGATATAAGGGAACGAGGAGGACTTAAAGCCCCTAATTTAAAATTGTATTATGATGCGGTGGTCCTGACATGGATTAGTGATTGGTTAAATTCAACAAATAAGAATATACTTTCTCTTGAAGGATGGGATTTGTTATTTGGCTGGCAGGCATATTTAATTTACGATATAAAAGGTAGACACTTATTTCAAGGTTCATATTTTAAGGAGTGCTCTATTGAGAGTTTGGAAGAAATATTATTATAAATTAAATTATAAAATTCCTATTTGGGCAACTCCGGGACAGGTGATAGAGGGGATATCTAGGGGAGTTAATTTGGATAAAGTCTCCTATAAGGAATTACTTTGTCCGGTAGGACAAGACTGGCAACTTAAATCTTTAGTAGATTTGAAACAAGAAAATATTGAATATTCTTGGTTTTATTATAATCAATTGACAATGAGATGGCGTATGGATCAAAGAGTTGGCATTACCTTACAGGATGCAAATTTGATGAAACAGATCAAAGATCAATCCCAAGCTCATATTAAAAGAATTTATAATGTATTGATTGAGTTGGATTCAGAAACAGGATTGGTTAAGGACTGTATGATAAAATGGGCGCAAAATATACAAGAACCAATTTCATTGGATACATGGGAGACAATTTGGGTTAGAAATGTAAAAATTTACTCAAGCTCAAAATTTAAGGGAGAATTTTTATAAAATGTTTTATAGGTGGCATCTGGATCCTCAAAAACTGTCTTGTATGTACCCTAATTTACAACCTAAGTGTTGGAGATGTGGCAATTTAGATGCATCTTATTTTCATATTTGGTGGACATGTAGGGAAGTTAAAGCATTTTGGATTAAGATATGGTGGAATACTCAAAATATTTTTAAGAAAAAGATAAAGTTTAAGCCGGAGATATTTTTGTTGTGTATTATGGAAGACTTGGATGCGAAAGAAATGGAATTGATGTTGAACTTTATAACTGCTGCAAGACTATTAGTAGCTCAGTATTGGAAAACGGAATGTTTACCTACTATAGAAGAATGGTCATTTAAAGTCTCGAATTTAGCAGAAATGGCCAAGATTTCCGCTTATGTGAAGGATCACTCACAAGAAAGATACATTTTGGTTTGGAGAAGATGGATAGATTATATTGAGTGTAAATATGGGACTAAAAATATCATTTGGTTTTTGAGTAAATTTTGGAATATTATGGTTGTATAAAGGTTAGAATATTTTATTTAGTATTATTTTTAATTATTAAAGTGTTGTTATTATTATTGTTTTTAATAATTGTACTGTTTAAAAGAGAGTTAAAGGA